CGAAAATATTTTTTATTTAAAATATAAAAATAACATGTCCAAAAAAAATTATATATATATTTTGGTTAACAGGCCGAACTTAGAGGAGGACATCCGGAAGGATAACCAAGTAAACGTGTTTTAAAAAGCGAATATAAAATTAATATTTGAAAATCGTAACCAAATGCAATACTGTGAGAGTCTTGGAGCTAAAGAGGAAAAATGTCCAAAATTAGCTTGATCGATCGGGTTGGTTTTATAGTTAATAGTCATATTTTAAGGTATAATGACAGGTATGCGAACTAATAGAACATCGACAAATCATTTCAATTGTAGAGGTGCTTTGGTAATTCAGTAAAAAGTCAATTTTTAACTTTTTATTTATTTTGATTTACATCATTTTTTATATTTTTTATTTATAAAAAAATAAAATTAATTAAAAAATTAATTTTTTACCGACTTTTCAAAATACCAGATAATCTAACTATAATGAGATACCAACATTATTTTTAAAATAAATAAAAAATTATGAGACTGGTAACAGTACTAACGGTGTCTTATAGATGACGTGATCAAAGGGTAGCAAACGTACCCCGTTAAAAAAAATCTACACAACTCGGAGTTTTCGTTATGCAAAGTGTCCACTTTTGATTCCCATTCTGGTACACTGCTCCTCTGCGAATCTGTCTATCTATCCCTCAACTTTGTGTCACACTTTTTAAGATTTTGCCAATTATGTTTTATTTTAGATTCAGATTCGTTTTACATCACAAAAAAAAACAAAATAAAAACTAACACTATAAAGTCTTAGAACTATGCCAAACAAACGGGGTTAAAATTTAAACTCTTTATTAAAGTTATGGCTATAAGAATACTTTCCACAACTACAAAATAGCAAAAACAAAATTTTGAAAGCCTAAATGATAGAATTTGGCCAAAAATGGCTTATCACCGCTATGCAGCGAGTTTCAGCCCACTGGCCGAATTGGGCCATGCCGAATCAAACATGGGTGTTTCGGTCCAAATTTGACGACTTTGACTGGTTACCCAAACTCGACAACAAGCTTTGTCCATCATGAATAAAGGTGATATTGAATTTGTAATTTGCTTCATGCAGGAGAACATGCCCCTCAAAGAAGTATTTGAACATCTCAAATGTACAAAAGAGGGTCTGAGTACCGATGCAGTTCAAGAACGGTTGGAACTGTTTGGATACAACAAACTTGAAGAGAAAAAGGTTAGGAAAGTTTATGTTGGATAACTTCCTTTTCTTTTTCCACATCTCATCTTATCTCTATTTTTTTTTTACACGGCGTGATTTATTGTATACTTTTCTTTCTTCCCTAGGAAAGTAAAATATTGAAGTTTTTGGGCTTTATGTGGAATCCTCTGTCATGGGTCATGGAAGCAGCAGCTTTAATGGCCATTGCTCTTGCACATGGAGGGGTAAATTTACATACTCTTATCTTACTTTAGTATAGTGTTGACTTATCATTTAGTCAAAGCTTCATTATTATATGCACGCGCGCACAAGACAATTTAAGATTATTCCATACTGACAAACCTTATTTTGTGCAGCACAAGGGCACAGATTATCATGACTTCTTTAGCATCTTGATCCTGCTCATTATCAACTCTACCATCAGTTTTATTGAGGAAAATAATGCTGGCAATGCGGCTGCTGCTCTTATGGCTCGATTAGCTCCAAAAGCCAAGGTTTCCCTCTTCTCAAATAAATACAGATCCAAAATTTTGTTTTCTATTTCTATTTCCTTTTTTTTCTCTTGAACTTTCAACATAAGTAAGGGAATGACTTATATTTGACTCTCTAATTACTCCTACCAGGTCCTGCGTGACGGGAAGTGGAGTGAGGAAGATGCTTCAGTGTTAGTTCCTGGTGACATAGTAAGCATCAAACTTGGGGACATTGTACCTGCTGATGCACGCCTTCTTGAAGGAGATCCTCTAAAAATTGATCAGGTATGTGATTCACTCCAAAATATGAGTTATCTCAACTTTTACATACACAGTCTAGTTGAAAAAAATAAAAAATAAAAAAATTGTTGTGCACTTCTTTTGCCTGGATAGGTGTTGTAAGCAGTCTTCAGAGTTCTGCATCTAGTGGAAGTTGATAAAGTCTATGAAAACAAAATTTTACATCTAACCCTCAAGTTCTTAGCTCTTACAACTTCATTACGATTTAAAGAGCCAATGATTTCTTCAAAATAATTTACTTTCCAGGGTTTGAGATATTTAATATGTCTCTGACATTTGCTGTCACGACCCCAAACCGCCCCTAGTAGTTTGGTGCCGTGATGGCCAGTAATCCGAGATTACCAAGGCCAACTTCCAAAATCCACACACCATCAGAGTATAATTATATGGGGCTAACAAGTACGGAAGCGATTTATACAAACAGATTAGTCCATAAGAGCGGTGCATAAGTTAAATGAAATAGCAATCATCAGCATATGGGTTACAACTCAATTACAAACGAAGCAAAGTACAAATTATATCCTTCATATCAACAAAAGGGCTTCACAAGCCGACATGAACAAAAATACATGAAATACTGCTAGAAGCAAAATCTTCAGGATTTGCCGACATCCTCACTGCCAACATAACATGTATACAAAACACACATCTTGATCAGAAGGCTTCTCAAGCCGACGTATGCAACATACAAGTATTACAAACCGAGAAGCATAATTTTCAAGACTGCCGACGTAATTACAGGTTAAGTCGACATAATCAAAAACCCAAAATAAGCTCCAGAATCACATCTAGGCGTCACCGCCTTCTTGTTTATCACCTACATATATATAGAGAGGGTGAGCTTGGATACTCAGTGAATGGTATAAATAATAAAGGGATTTGCATGAATAATAGCCGAAGTCCTTTCAAAACAATACAAAACAAAACTTTATATATAACAAGGAATGGACCTCGTCCATCTAACAGATCTTCAAAGCTTCAAGGGATACTTACTAGCATCACATATTACAAATAACAACATTCCGGCAAACGTATCCATGCAGTAAACTGTCCGTGGCAAAACAAGACAAAGCAAGAGAGCATCTCAAACAAGGGTGCTACAAAAGTTTAGAGTCCTCTAGCACAAGGGACCTATGTTACAAAGGCTCGTAGCCTTTTAACACGAGAGTGCTACGAAAGTTTAGAGTCCTCCAGCACAAGGGACTTTCAAGACAAGATGTGCTGCGAAAGTTTAGAGTCCTCCAGCACGAGGGACTTCCAAAACGAGAGGTGCTGCGAAAGTTTAGAGTCCTCCAGCACAAGAGACTTTTCAACCAAGATGTGCTGCGAAAGTTTAGAGTCCTCCAGCACAAGGGACTTTCCGAGAAGGTCATTCAAGCAAGTATAATACGAGATGCAAAACTAAGGACAATCATTCATGCTTAACAAATATCTTTCAAAACAAAGCAAAGCAAAGCTCATCAAAACATTGATAACATAGCTTTATCAAAAATACCACTCACCTAGTTCTTCAAACGTCGGGGTCAAGGCAAGTCCAAGTCCTACAAATGCATGGCAAAGTCTATTGAATACACTACTCAAAACAAGTCTAGCTTACATGTAAATGACCTCGGCATCCTTCAAAAACTAAGTCAATCAAATCGAAACATAGTTTCTTATCTTTGGAAAAACACGCTGGGCAACTACCAGGTCTAGGCCGAGGTCCCACACCTCCTTGCCGAGGTGTAGCCTCGATGGCCACATACAAAAGCGAAGTCGGGAAAAATCTGGGTTTCCCTCTTGATAAACATGAAGAACATGAAGAGCATGAATCACGAGGAAGACAAATGCGAAGATCAAAACTGGCCATTACGAAAGTTGGGATTTCATGCTATGAATTCAAAAACATGGACCTGGGTACCCATATTCAAGGATCTTATCAAAACAAACACAAAACATGGTTCTAGATGCAAACTTTTGGATCAAACGAGGCTTTTCCTCAAGAACACAAGAAAACCATTTTCTCTTTCTAAAACCAACTTTAAATCAATGCATGACGTGCAGAATGAGTTCGATCGTGCAATGCAGCTAGATGATCAGTAAGAACAACAAGAGCAAGTTAAGATTCTAACCTTAAAGCTTGGATCTAACGGTTCAAGCTCCAACGATCAAGCTTGGAAGTTCTCTCTCTCTCTCAAAACTTCTCCTTCTTCTTCCTAGAGTTTCTCTCTCTAAAAGGCAAGATTTGATACAAAATGATTTGTTTTCTCGACAGTCACTGACTTAATTCTTCTGCCGGGACATGTGGCACCGGCTGGTTGGCTCTACTCGAAAAGGTGACTGACTGATTGGACAAGACCATGACAAAGTGTATTCAACAAGCTAAACAGCAAGAGTACTCCGGCAATAATGACATCGGCTAACAACAAGACTCCAGTGAGCAAGTGGCAAGGACATCGGCTTGGAAGGACAACACTTGACTAAACTGTGCCACACCTTGGCCTAGATGTGCCACACCTCGGTCTAGGTCATACCATTCCAGGAACAAAATCACTCATGCAAGGATCAAGGATCTAGAACGCCTAGATACTAACATCTCGGCCTAGGCGACGCGCACCTCAGCCTAGATGGTGACATCTCGGCCAATATGCCAGGGTGAAGATGGAGGTCAACCAACGGGGTTCCAAGATAGTTCTAAGTGACAAAGGTCTCGAAGGTGTCTAGGCTTAAGATGACCTCGACAACGCACCAGGCGAGAACAAGGCATGCAAGCAATCATTCAAGCAAAACAAGACAAGATTCGTAAATGCACATATTAAAACAAGATCATCCATAAATGTATGCAAGTATGACTAAGTCAAAATGAGGGTTGTTACATTTGCAGTCTGCTCTTACCAGAGAATCACTTCCTGTAACCAAGATTTGAGATATATAAATTTCTGATTTATGTTCTCTAGAGGTGGAAAATACTTAGAAGAAGATGCAAAGGCTGTCGTGGTACAGATTTTGAGTGTGGTTGCCTACTGTCATCGCCAAGGTGTAGTTCACCGTGACCTCAAGCCTGAGGTAATGAACTCAGACATTTTCATTTTTTTCTTGGTAATTTATAGAACTTAACGTGGAAAATATTACATCTTGTAGCAAGTTCCGGATAGTGTGTTCACACATAACCCTACTAATAGGCTTTAAAACTGTTTTTAACATTTTTCTTCTCATAATCATAAGTCAGTCAAAACATGGGATATAATACACAATTTAAAGAGATCAATAATTCTAAAGCTAACAGAAATTAATTTCATCTAATCTAATCCATCCTAACAAATATGTCCTAAATGGACAATGATCTCTAATAGCGTTTCAAAGTTGTTTTCATTCATCTCAAATATGTCCTGCCTTTTATTTTGGCAGAGCTAATGCTTTTTGGACTTGCGTCATTGGTAATGGGTCATTGGATCAATCAAGTGAAAGCGTTGTTACATAATTTTCCCTCTTGTTGGCTGCAGCCGGGAATGGTAACAATTGATCTTCTGTTGTCTGGAGCTTCTACAAAGCAGGTAGAATGTGTATTGCATATTTCCTTGATTTCTTTTGTGAAGCTTTTGGATCAATCAAGTGAAAGCGTTTTATTTATTACAAGCCAAGTTTTTCATTAATGTTTTGGTAGAACCGGCAGAAGTGGTAAGAGTTTATTGATGTGGTGATCTACCTAAGGGAGTGATGTACAAACAGTGTTTTTAATTCCTTGTTTTTGAGTTTTAGGTGCTTGCTTTGTTTCAATAGTCATCTAAATTCATGATTATGGATTGTGATGTTCGATGAAATAAATCATATGGTTAGGTTTTCCAAATAGGCAAATGCACATACAAGACTTAGAGATGAACCGTTTAGACACAACATTCTAGGCTATGATCAACTACTGACTGAATTATGTGTGAGTGCTCAAACGATTTTGGGAAGAAAAAAAAGAAAACCGGACTTCTGAAGATCATATTCAAATGTGATGTGTAAGTTTTTGACCATATTAAACTCGCCTTGTGTGTGCATGCGCCTGTGTGTTTATGCGAGTGAGGGCATGCATGTAGGTAGCAGAGTATCTCGTCCCAAACATCAGATCTGTCCCTGCCAATGGATTAAGCAAGCCCACTTACATTCAATTCCTTACTGGCTTGAAAGCATACTCTCAGATATTCTCAGTTAAGTGGAAAAAAAAAATGAAAAGAACTTTTCATTCTTGGTTTTCTATATTTAAATTGTGGTTATTAATCCTTTTGTTTTTTGGCCATATTGTGTAGAGATTTGCTTTCGGTGCTAGGAGGAATCGATATCTGCTTGAAGATTGATGAGGATCAGAGGTCTAATATGTCCATACAACATATTTTCTTTCACATAAAATTTGTTGCTCTCTCTCTCTCTCTAGCTTTTGTGGTCAAGATTTGCATTAAATCATTGGCCTAGCTGTTTCTATACATGTGTAGCAAACTCAAATGTTTTGGAGACTGTCTCTACAATGCCTTACAATTATTTGCTTATTATTGTGCTAACCAAGATTGTAGAAAATTGATGTAGAAGTTCTGTTGAAATTTTATTTTTCTGCTTGTCGTGTTGAATTTGTTATTTGACAGGTCTGCAATACATGTGTGTGATACAATATTTTTTCTTTTTATTTTTTGGTTGTGTTTGTTGCTTGATTTTGGTTTAGAATATTTTTTCTTTTTAATTTTAGGTTGATTTTGGTTTTGAAATCTAACAGAATGCATAATCTATAAAGAAGGGAAAAAAAAGAAGGCTATAACGGCGTTTTTCGAAATGCCACTACAGTGCCAAGTCATATTTTTAAAATAAAAAAACTGTCACGGCGTTTTTAAAACGTCGCTAAATACTGGATGACGTCGTTTTACCGTTATTTACCACATTTAGAGGCGTTTTTAAAAACGCCGTCTATACTAATTTAGTGAAATTTTTAAAGCGTCATAACATTATAGTGACGGCCGCGTCTTCGGCGTTTGGTACTAAACGTCACAAAAATAATTAACGGCGTTTTTTATACCTATAGTGGCGTTTTTCAAATGCCACTAAATGTGAAATTTCCAGCAGTGTATAACTTATACATCTGTATAAATAGAAAACTATAGTATATGTAAAGCAAAGGCTCGAGTACATAAATTATGTTTGAATAAATGCAAGTAAGTAGTAGGTCGACCCAAAAGCAACAGTGCATAAAAGAAGAAAAAAAAATAGTAGAATTGGGCATAATCATGGATTAGTATGGTCAAAAGGCTTTCTCCTCAATAACAAAATATGAAATGTGTCATGTGCGAACCAGTTTCCGCAATAGAGTAAGATGGAACTTCGTGGACGAACCCTGGTGCTCTAATAGGTGAAGGCCTGCACAAGGAACAAATAGTTAGGCTGCCTGACCGGGGGTTGGTCAGAAACCCCTCCGACGGTCGAATCAGTACCGGAGTTTGGTAGAGACAATGTAGAGAAGACCAGTGTGTTTCTAAAGTTAAGAGATCGCCCATTTCAAGGAGAGTAAGGTTACATTTTATAAGGATCGTATGACTTATTCATCAAGCTCCCTCATTCTACGCCTGGTCCTCAGCCGTGATGGTAGCACATCCCTTAATAGAGGGGAGCAAGTTCCGTCATTTGCGGACACCACGTGCCTTTTACTTTACATGATATTGATTGATCTGTTAGCACTCATGTGTCGTTGAGTGGGAGCCTTGGAGCCCATGTTATGGACTTACCCACTTTGGAGTGGGGAGTGGTACTAGGGCTAGGCCCATGGTCTTTCCTTCTTCGGAGTGGGGAGTGGTGCTAGGGCCAGGCCCATGGTCTTCCCCTCTTCGGAGTGGGGAGTGGGCCAAGATTGATCCCTTAGCTCGGCCCATCATAGAGTGGAGAGAGAGAGCCCACTTCGGAGTGGGGACCTTTGTCCAGTCCAACGAGGCTTCATACAAATAGGTTTGAGTACGGAATAGGGACCTTCGTCCAATCCCACGAGGTTCCATGCAAATAGGCTTGAGTACAGAGTAGGGACCTTCGTCCAATCCCACGAGGTTCCATACAAATAGGCTTGAGTAATTGTGCCCCCTTCATGTCATATATCATATATGCATAAATGTGATGAAATTTAGGTTATGTTTGGAGGGTTGTGTTTATAGACAAAAAGTGACTATAAATTGTTATATTAGCTTAGCTTATTCACTTATTTATCCCAAAAAAAAATTATATACATCTTTTTATAAAAAATTAATTAAAACAGTCAATTCCAAAATTAGGATGCATGTGTGGTAGAATAATAATAAAATAAAATAAAATAAAATAGGATAAATTACATTGACACCCCTGATGTTTATATTTATTATAGTTCCCTCCTCAGCTTTGGAAATTACATCCCCTCCTTGAGGTTTAAAGTTTTATTACAGATTGCTCTCTCCAGCAATTTAATTTTTTTAAATACCAATTTTGCCCTCACTGGGTAAATTACATTAACACCCCTCATATTTTAGAAATTACAATCCCCTCCCCAAGGTTTAAAGTAGCATTTACCAATTGCCCCCTCGGTTAGTATTAGTTGAAAAAAAAAATTAATTGAAAAAATTTTTGTTAGTCAAATTTTTAAATTTCTATTTAAAAACCAATGTAAGATAAAAATTACACTGACACTCCTTGAAGTTTATGTTTACTACACTCGAAAGATAAAAATTATATAAAAATGATAATTATTTTTTATTTTTTATTTCTTAAACAAATTAATTTTTAATTTAAAAAAAATTTCAAAAAATCAAACCATATATAGCCTAAAAATCTTTTGATAAGTCATTTCTTACGTTGGTAACTTATTTAATGATTTGTTAATTTTACAACATTTTTACCATCTGAAGTCTGTTTGGTAACCATTTCGTTTCCAGTTTTCAATTTATATTTACAAAAATTTTAAAAATTGTCATAAAACTTGTTTGATAATTTTTTTGGTTTATTAGTGGTTGTCTCAGTTTGTAAATTTGAGGAAAAAAAGTAAATTCAAAAAATGAGTTTACATTGGTTTTTAAACATAAATTTAAAAATTTGACTAATAAAAAAAATTTTCAATTAATTTTTTTTCCAATGAATTTTTTTTTTCAAATAATACTAACTGAGGGGGCAATTGGTAATGATACTTTAAACCTTGGGGAGGAGATTGTAATTTTTAAAATGTGAGGTGTGTCAATGTAATTTATCCAGTGAGGACAAAGTTGGTATCAAAAAAAATTAAATTGGCGGAGGGAGCAATTTGTAATGAAACTTTAAACCTTAGAGAGGGAGATGTAATTTCCAAAAGGTAAAAAGGAAAGTGTAATAAATATAAACCTCAGGAGATGTAAATGTAATTTATCTCATAAAATAAAAACAAGAAAGATACCATACCATGCTTCAAGACAAAGCGCATCGATGCCATCTTTAGATTTCTTGGAGTACAAATACAATGAGTAGATGTTTCACGATTGTACCTATTCCTATTTAATTTTAATAAAATTTTCTTTCACTGATAAAAAAATGTATAAAAAATTTGATAATGAAATTTTATTTTACGATAATAAAGTTTCCATTGTGTTATGTTAAATGGTATGATTGAGGGGATTAGATGTGGTGATGAGTCGTAGCTGAAGCGAGTGGGAGAAGGAGAGGTTAAAAACTTATTTTTAAATAAGTAAATTTATTTTTATTTTTTATAATTAAATGTTTAATTTTTTTTTTTTATTAGTTAGACACTAAAAAACCACTAGTTATCTATTGTAGTTAATTTCTACTTTGTTTATTACAATGAAGATGCAATATGTATGGAATATGTGGATAAAATATTAGGGTCAACTTCTCAATGAAGTTTGAACAGTCAATGGAACACCCCTCTAAATAACTAAATTATACAGTATTTAATAATTATTATGAAAATAAATTATATTAGACATTTTAAAATGATATTCCTGATCAGAAGCAACTTTTATTTGTAGCATTGAAAAATATTTTACTATGTACTCCAAGGAAACAGGGTTGTTGTTGTGTCCAAGGCACATAAACGGATTTTGTGCTCTTTTAATGGATTGCATTTCAATAGAATTGTCTCCGTTTGTAAATTTGAGAAAAAAAATGTAAATTCAAAAAATGAGTTTACGTTGATTTTTAAATAAAAATTTAAAAATTGGACTAACACAATTTTTTTTTAATTAATTTTTTTTTCAACTAATACTAACCGATGAGACAATTGGTAATGCTACTTTAAACCTTGGGGAGAGGATTGTAAATTCTAAAATGTGAGGGGTGTCAATGCAATTTACCCAGTGAGGACAAAATTCGTATTAAAAAAATTAAATTGCTAGAGGGGTGTCAATGTAATTTACCCCTATTCCTATTTTATTTTAATAAAATTTTTTTTTACTGATAAAAAATATAAAAAAAATTTGATAATAAAACTTTATTTTATGATAATAAAGTTTCCATTGTGTTATGTTAAATGGTATGGTTGAGGGACTAGATATGGAGATGAGTCGTAGCTGAAGCGAGTGGGAGGATGAGAGGTTAAAAACTTATTTTTAAATAAGTAAATTTATTTTTATTTTTTATAATTAAATGTTCAATTTTTTTTATTTGTTAGACACTAAAAAACCACAACTTATCTATTGTAGTCAATTTCTACCTTGTTTATTATAATGAAGATGCAATATGTATGGAACATGTGTATAAAATGTTGGGGTCAACTTCTCAATGAAGTTTGAACAGTCAATGGGACACCCCTCTAAATGACTAAATTATAGAGTATTTAGTAATTATTACGAAAACAAATATATATTAGACATTTTAATATTATATTTCTGATCAGACGCAACTTTTATTTCTAGCATTGAAAAATAATTTTCTATATACTCCTAGGAAACAGGGTTGTTGTGTCCAAGGCACATAACCGGATTTTGTGCTCTTTTAATGGATTGCATTTCAATTTAATTTAGAATTGTCTCCATTTGTAAATTTAAGTAAATTCAAAAAATGAGTTCACAATGATTTTTAAGCTGAAATTTAAAAATTTAACTAATAAATTTTTTTTCAATTAATTTATTTTTCAAATAATTTTTTTTAATTAATTTTTTTTCAAACAATTTTTTTTTTCAACTAATACTAATCAAGGGGGCAATTAGTAATGCTACTTTAAACTTTGGGGAGGGGATTGTAATTTTTAAAATATGAGAGGTGTCAATGTAATTTACCCAGTGAGGAAAAAATTGGTATTTAAAAAAATTAAATTGCTAGTGGGTTGTCAATGTAATTTACCCCTATTCCTATTTTATTTTAATAAAAATATACAAAAAATTTGATAATAAAATTTTATTTTATGATAATAAAGTTTCCATTGTGTTATGTTAAATGGTATGGTTGAGGGGACCATATGTGGTGATGAATCGTAGCTGATGCGAGTGGGAGGAGGAGAGGTTAAAAACTTATTTTTAATTAAGTAAATTTATTTTTATTTTTTATAATTAAATGTTCAATTTTTTTTATTTGTTAGACACTAAAAAACCACTACTTATATGTTGTAGTCAATTTCTACCCTGTTTATTATAATGAAGATGCAATAT